GAAGGCTTTTCAACAGCAAATCTTGGGTTTTCCGAGATGCAGGAGCGATCGTTTTGCTTATTGGCGTAGCCATCAAAGTGGAAATGGGCCTTATCTGTTAAGATGACTTTTTGGTGAATTTTCGGATATTTTTTATGAACTTCAAGGACCCAATCAGAAAAGGCACGACGTTATTGATGATTTGCCGGCTTCAGCACTTGTGTTAACGGAATTTTCTAAGCCTTAAAACCCAAGTCTATATACAAAATGCTGTGTAGTAGGGTTTGTAGTATGCCCAATTCCAAAGAACGACGATGAATCGTCAAACCTAGATTTTCTGCAACACTTAGGGTTACGGCATCACTATTTTCAGTTGCTCTTAAGGGACGCGCACGTGTTTTATTCGTCACTTCACTAACTTGTCCCAACAGCTCGATATTTGCTTACCAACTTCTGTACTGCTGTCCGACAAGGTGCTTCATGACAACCGAAAAATATTTTAGTTTTATAAGCCATCTCAGGAAGGATTTCACCATTTCTATAGTGAATTTTAATCATTTTATTGCGTTGTTGAAGCGTGTATCCTTCCATTTGTATAACTGACGTAATTTCTACTTGTCAAATGTCAAAAAATTACAGCTACAAAAGCGACATCTACCGGGATTGCAGGCTATTCAAATTAGCAAACTCTTATTGGAAAATCCTTAATTATTTACCTAATCGAGTGAGCCTAACTGAGTTACGGAAATAATGGATCATTATGGTGGGTGCAGCAGAAATATTCTGTCGAAGCAGGATTGGATGGAGCAGAAGGATTTGAAGTAACCAACCGTCTTTATAATACCCAAATGTTACAAATACACAAATATATTTGTAGTATTCGCTGGCATCATGGCATGAGTCATCATTTGAACAAGTTTTTGGGCATATTTCTCAGAATCCTTTTACTAAAAGCCGTTCGCCTAAAAGGATAAAATCGGAACACAAAACAGCCTTTTCTTATTTACCCATTAAAGGATCACGCAATACTTATGAGCATAAACATACATACATACGTACATACATATGAGTATAAGAAGTACTTATGCAAGTATAGAAATGTATATATGTATGTGTGTGTACCTATTGAACTTGTTGCCCACTCCACCAAACGGGCACTTGTGCGGTTTTGCTTTGTTTCCCAGCACCAACTGACAACCGTATTGAATTTGAACAATGGCGGCCCCTACAAGTAATTCAAGTAGACTCCTCTCTTAGAAACGTCACAGGCATGCCAAATAACAACAACAACAAGGAGGAGGAGGTGAAAAGATTAGGCGCAACGAAACAGGATAATCGGCATGAGACACACATACATTCCTGCAAATAAAAAAAATTTGAATTGTATTTTTTTTTTGTCTTGGAGAATAAAAAAAATAATCAGAAAAATTACAAACATACACATGCCTCTTGCCCATTGTTGTTTTTTATTTTTGTATTGATCTTTTTTTATACAACAAATGAGCACACACTGATTTTGAATGGTAATAAATTTGGAGGAAAAAAAACGTAAATAAAAATATCGCTGGAAAACAAGAAAAAAATGGGAAAAAACAGTAGAAAATTAAAAAAAAATATTAAAGAAAGAAAAAGGCAACGACAGTGATAAGCGTGAAATGCACAAAGGACTACAAAGTGAGTTGACCTTTTGTTGTTGTTGACATTATGTGCCTTGTATTTGTTACACTAACACATTCCTATATACTCACAAAAATAATATTGCTTTGCAACATATGGCAATTTCTATTGGAAAACCCCCAACTGACTGACCATGAATACGCATTCGCCGTCCGCAGCGCAGCCGATTTGTAGTTGTAGGTGTGAACGGTACGCGTAGCTCGTAAAAAGTGCCACTTAACAATATTGTCCAAGCGCCTTGGCCGCAGAGTGAGTAGTACCTGTCGGTATGTATTTTCAAATTGCTCCGCACAACGAATTTCATTTTCAGCTCTTCAAGCGACAGGTAAACGAGAAGAGTCATACGCGCACTGCACTAAATGGCTGCGTGTGTGTGTGTGTGTGTAAGTAAGTGAGCGCACTTGAAACTCACCATGCAAGCATGTTGAGTTTGCTAGTCGGCAACATGAGTGTGCGACAGCGTCGGCGGCAGCATCGGTGGCGTCTATTGAAATGTAAACAAAACAAGTTCATCGATTACATTGTTTTTATTAAAAATGCCGGCAAGCTATAATTGTTTTGGAATTTTCAGCTCATAACAAGTTGTAATGCAACATGTTGGGAGCGCGCCGTTTGAACTGAGATTTTAGTGTTTGGCAGAGAACTTATTTTAAGTTCTCTGGTTTGGTGCAAGAACTTTCCTCAGTCGATCAGAGAACTTGTAAGACCTCTGGATAATTAAGCAGATTGGGTGGAGCTGAGTTTATAAATTAGAGAACTTGCAAGAACTGATGAATGACGATGACCTCAAAGCTCAATTTTATACCAAGAAAATTTAGCGAGAAGCTTTCTTCTGAGGCTTCATTAAACTTTTTATTGCAGCTGATTTTTCGTATAACAAACAGGCAATATTAAAAAGTACAATTTTATTGAGAGCTCCTTGCTCCAAGAGCGACACCCGCTTGCAGTCGTACCCCTGCTGCACTAAGACTTCTATGAACCCTAAGTTTCATTTACTAAAGCTCACACACTTTGGGTTGGTACCCAAGGCCCCAAACAGGTTGGTTACCGCGCCAAGCACCAGGCTTGCTCATGTTTCCAGGGAGCGCGACGTGGACGCACAAGTAGTAATTTGGTATATCATTGCCACTATAACAGAAGCAGGGGTGCCGATTGATAGTCGAAACTTGGATGTCGTAGATAATTTCGTCTATTTTGGATGGAGCTTTGCAATCGGCGTTTTTCGGGCGAACTCAACCTCAAATTTGTGATTGCGTCTTGATGTTTTTCCAACAACTGGAGGAACCTAAAATTTATTCCAAGTCGCCTCCGAGCGAACTTTTATTTCATATCAGAAATACACACGAAGTGCATAACATTTCCTGTCGAGAAGCGAACGAAATTAGAAAAATAAATTTTCTATTATTCTGGCTGTTAGTCGAACCAGGACTCAAACTTTGGCCTTTATTTTTGCCGCGCTTTTTTTGCAGAAAGTCGTCGCGTGCAGTCATCTCGAGAAGAGTTGATAGCGAAGAGGACCTGACTTTAACTGGATGGAGAAGTCATTCCTCTCCAATGAAATTCGAAGACAGAAGATACTACGTCCTTAGTGTTACCTGAATCAATACATACGATTGAACATTAATCAGCTATTCCTTACCAAACAAGATCAACATCAATGCTCTACATATCAGATGCTCTATTGTCTCCGCATAGCCCATGCAGTTCTGACACTTCTACCAAACCCTCAATAGGCAATACCCTATAAATATTCGTTCTGTCCCAAAATCAATTAACTTAACTATGCGACGGTTGACACCTTGTTTTTGGTGAGAGTGCTAAAATGCTATCTCATCTACCCTATATACGGAGATAAAGTTGCTAGTCAAAGTGATAAGTCTGCCAACTTTTGATCTGAGTGGAATGGGTTGCGAAGCAATATTATCCCCCATAAATCAGGATGTTGAGTAGACCGTGCTCCTTGGCTAGTTTGCAGCTAGGAGGGTCAATAACCAGCTATATTATGAAAAAGTCTTCTCCTCACAGTGGCGCCTTGGAATGGAATGGGGGCTTTACTGCGGCATGGGGCGCTGCTGTAGCGGCCTAATACTTTCCCCAACTATTATTTCTACCACGACCACGACCAGGTGAGCTTCGACTTGCAAGTGGTAGTACGAGCAAGGTGAATAACAACAACAACAACAAAAACTGCTACAAAAAGAACATCCAAGTTGAATAAAGCAGAAACTGCGGTAGTGAATCACCAATCGACGGGCTTTCTGAAGTATGTAGGCTCCAAACGCTTCTCCCGCTGAGTTACCTTACAAGAGTAGCATGAAAAGCAAGACTGTACCCGCCGAGTTGTCTCGGGGGACCGCCAAGGACCTAAATGAAGCCAAAAAGCATGCCACAGCACTCCGGTCAAGGAAACTCGCCAATTGTAAACAGCAGGCTGTCAAGTATTGAGGAAGATGCGCTAAAAACATCATCTGCTAAAAGGCACCGAAGGGAAGAGAGTCAGGTGAATAAGCAGATAGACTTGCAAGAGAAGCGCCCTCAAATTTACATACGAGGCCAATGCATTTCTTCCCTATAGATCCTCTCACAATTAAAGAGGAGCTAAGAAATTAGGAAATGAGATAAGAAATCGGTGCTGATGTACTAGTGACGGGAAGCGTTTATACGGGTGCAATACCAGACGATTTTTAGAGACATTATATTATTTAGTAAGAGTAACTTAAGAATGCCTTACAGGACGTTGCAGACTGCATAAGAATATGCATATACTCGGCATAAGGAACAAAGAGACTTGTAGCTTCTGTGAGCTGGAACCAGAAGCAAGGGTGCACTTACCGCTTGAAAGTAAAGCTGTGGCTAGAAGAAGACTAAGACATCTAGGAGTCATTCAGCTGGTAAAAAATCACATTAACTCTATAAACCCTGCTAGCGAGCTAGGTTTTATAATGGTCTCTAAGGGATTGTTTGATATAATGTGAAAAAATCAGAGGGCACAATAGACCACTGGAAGGCGGTGCACATGCTCCACACTTATCTGCATACATATCTATTTATCTAACAATACAAACGAGTTTCTTATTCATATTTCAGTCCGCTGGAAGGGACTGACAAGATCTTTGTTACATATGTATGACCTTTAGGGTTCCTCGACTAACTCATTTTATTCCCTCCCTGAAAGCTGAAAGGTTCATAAGTTGATATGTTCTGTTGTGAAATCACTCTACCTTTAATCGCTTAATCGACTAACTCATTTTGTTCGACACCCTTGGGTACAGGTAGTCAATAAAGATGAACCTTACTGCCCTCTGCCGTAATTACAATAAATACTAAAAATCTGTGGCATTTTTTTTTTCAAAGAAGTATTATCTAGATTCTTACTTTATTTGGAAATAAATCCAGTTTTCTGCTTTACGCTAATACTTAATACCCAATCGATTTTTGAATGCCATGAGTTCGTCGAAGAAGAGCAACACAAGCGCCGAATGCGGCACCAGGCGCACATAGTTCGCAAAAAAACCCTTATAGAGTCCATAAATACTTTCGGTGCGTACAGTTTTCGCGAAACAATCCAACCAACCTTTATATAAAAGACCCTTGCCACTCGCATCCAAACCTTGATTGTAGAGGCGTGTCATAACCACATCCGATGGCGTCATAGCCAATGCGATGAAACAACCAGCAACGAAACCACCACAGAGTGAATTCAATGTGGGTTGAACAACGAGATTCTGTTCCCGCAGAAACGCCTTGACCGAACCGAATGTTGCCAGCTGAGTGCCAGAACCGATAGCAGCACGCGCTATAGATGCTGTCGAGCCGCGCCACAACCCGGAAATTCCACCTTCACCATAGATTTTACGCAACGCTGATAACATGCCAGTGTGATCGTGTTGATAGCCGACAGCTACTTGTTTTGGTGCACGCGATTGCAATTGTGTTTTTATCTGTAGAGAGCGTGAGTGAGGGGGAGTAAGTGGGATTAATGTCATTAAGTCGTTTCGTTTTGGTTTTTGTTTAGTAAATATAGAGATATAGTTGTTAGTTTTTTTTTTTGTTTTTTTTTTTTAATTTCAGAGAAGTGTGGCTTTATGATGCTTATCTACATATGTACATATCTATTAGCTTTAGTAGTTTATTATGAAAGTCTGGCATTCGGAACTCTTATGCAATTAATTGAAGTTAAGGATATTTTCTTCTTTTTTCCTTGTACATACCAAGAAAAATGGACTCGAAAAGTATGCGCCCACTGCGCCGCCAGCGGCACCCCAAAAGAGACTCAAGCCAACAGATTCTCCACCGTTTTTTTTCTTGGTCCATTGCATGTTGACAGCGGAGCTGTAGATGCCCAATCTACAAAGCATGGTTTGAAAAATATCAATTAATCATTTGATTCAAAGTTTCTTAACATTATTAGTTATAAACCATACCCTAAGCACTAGTTTCTAACTAGTCGTCAAAAAACTAGTATTTCATCAGTCTCAATACAATACTTTTTTAAACAGCTTATAGCAAATTTGAAATCAAGTTAAAAAATTCAAGAAACTTTCAGAAAATTTCGAGCCCGTTAGTTTTGATGTTATTGCGAATAAGTAGTGCATAACTAGTTACATAATAACTAGTAAATAATTATTCATTTATTGAGCAAATAAATTTAAACAGCGTACAAAGAACTAATTGAGTCTGCCCTTTGGTAAAGCCACGCAATGAGTTACCCTTACCAATCTTTAAACTAGTTAATAAAAAAAATTAAACTGAATTTTAAAGAACTAGTTCTTAACTAGTTTGTGGGAAAATAACAAAATATAATAAAAAAATATTTAACTTTTATAAAAAATATTTAACACATATCCAAACAACTAGTTTCAAACTAGTGCCAAAGTAATTAGTGACTAGTTATCATATTTTTAATGCTCGTTTACATTTCATAGTACACTAAATACCCACCTTACACCATTAACAATGAACTGAAAGTACATAGTCGGCACCAATCCCTTCTGCAAGCCCATCCAACCATCATTACGTATCACAGTGACCATGCCATGTAGAATACCTTTGTAAGGCACCACATATGTGCCACGCGCCGCCAGCTCACCTTGTAGTTGTATACGTGTTTTGATGACCTTGAAAAAAAAACATAACACACAATTATTGTTCTCTCTAGTAATTTTTTTCCATAATAAAGTTTACATCCAAAGGATTTGTAATAATCGTTGCACCCACAGCTGCCAGGCCACCAATCACATATTCCGAAGCATTCATGGTGAGGAGACAACGTCAATAAAATTAAAAAAAAAAATTTTTAATAAATATTGTTACGACCAGCGTTTCGCAGCTCCACCCGACTCAGCAGCTCCACTGTGACTGATAAATTTTCATTCAAAGTTTATTAAGCTTACCAATGTCTCGTAGATTTTCTATCCATCTAGTAGATAATAATTTATCATACGAGAGAATTTCGTGAATATTCACCCACACATACATATGTGGAAAGTTAGTGCAATATTATTTCATATCTCTTTACTCGTGTGAGGTACGTATGAAAGGTTCCGGAATCATGCTGAATAAAGCTTTCGCCAGTTAACAAATTCAGAGCACAGCGCACCTATTCGCGGAGTATATTCTCTGAGAGTGAATTTAACGCACAAACCCTAGGCTTAATTCTGGACACAAATGTAGCACTCAACGGGAAATTTAGAGCTTTCCAACCTCTCATGGATACCAACTGCAGAGAGGAGAGAGTGTGGTGGAGGGCGAGCATGCAGAGAGACTCCTCAAGGTGTTGTTTTGCTACTGTGATCGCCTTCTGAAAAAGTTTGATATCAACATATAACGCAGAATGCTCTAAGAGCCAAATTCTGCTGGGGAGACTGCCTAGTAAAGAAGACTTTTTTATGATAAGATAGCAGCATGTAAACCTCCAAGGATCAAGGATCATACCTCGAAATAATTTTCGACAGCTCTTGTGAAAGCACAATCTAGAAGGTAGGGTAAAAACAACTCGTACAGTCCTTCGATGTTAGAAGCATCCCAGAGGATACTAATTTTATAGAGAAAACACTCAACATAGCGGCAGAGCCGCATGGTTTGCCGGCCTATCTCTTCAAATAAGGCGACATAGAACTGGCAAGATGTATGCATAAGTTTCTTTGCAAAATTCGGGCAGATGAAAGCAAGTCCAACGATTGGAATCTAAGCGGAGGACTAATAAATTATAAGTGCTCCACCCAAGCGTGCTCCGTCCAATCCAAAAAAAGGAGCCACACAGTTTAAGTAAGCTAAGGTCCTATCGGGCCCACTACCAACAAACTGAATTGACTTTATCAGTGTGGCTTTAGATCTAGTAAGTCAAGCATTGACCAGATATTCACTATTCGCCAAATCTTGGTTTAGACCCGTGAAAAGAGGATCGACGCACACTATCTTCGCTAGCACGAAAAGTTGCTACCCCTACGCCGCTATGTCTGACTTTGGTAGCCCCGCAATACTTATACGGTATGTAAACAAAAGTGAAGTACTACAAATACCTGCGGCAGGTCGTCAGGCCAATCTTTCTTTGTAGTGTTGTGGTGTGATGGACCGCGGCCAATAAGAACTCTCGTTAAGTAAATGGTAAACAAAAGAAACTATATGCTCGCGGATTATTTTCAAAAAAGGTAGTTGATGCAGGCCCACCAGCGCTACAGGAAACATCTACAGGGGCGGATCAAATATCGAAGCACAGAGTAAGCGTAGAGGTACTCGCCATAAGGGAAACATAGTTAGCCAGACAGAAGTACGATTCTCGATTGACTGTTATATGTTCTCTGGCTGAACCCGAAGAAAACCAACCAAAACCAGTGAATTAGGTGCCTGAATATCTACTGTGTTGCTGATCACAAGAGCATTGTGGTGATCGAAATAGTTGGTTTGATTACCAAAAATTGCTGCCTGTTTGGAAACAGACTCCGTAGAAGGAATTAAAAAGACGCTAAAGATCTTCTACAATGAAATTTCGATAGAGACGGAAAATGGATCAGGGTAAGACGGAAAGAAAAAACACACCCACTTTTTTCTTTTGTAATGCAAGAAACCTGTACACCAAATGGTAGACCACAACCTTCTGATATCACACGCGAACAGAATGAGGAATAATACTTGTAGGAAATGCAATGAGGCCGGCATGAATCAGCAAGTCTCCATGCAATAAAAAGTACAGGTATTGCACAGACTAGTATTACCTAACCTATAGCCGCTATGGATCTAGAGGACGACGGAGGGAATCACTCTCTGCTTAGTTGGAGTTTCCATACGCTTTGATAGCTTGCGCTACAAATGATATTAGAGAGTCAGAGTTTCCTCCTTTCGAATATTGTTTCTGTTCCACTAAACTAAAGTTCTCGACAACTTATTCCAAGGCTATAAAATACTTAAGTCTGAGTTTCCACCTCCCGTTTGTAGCTCCCGTCTCAATGGACTAAGAAATTTGGCAAGCTCCCACTGTGTTTGAACCAATTTTGATGAGCCAACAAACTCCAAAGCGCAACTCCAAACATGTTCAATAACGCTTGCATTGCATTAAGTATGGTGAGTTTATCAGCTAATTAGCGCCAACGCAGCGCTGAGCATGCACCAGCTATCGCTCGCTGCACCCGCTGGGAAAATTCACCAAACTGCAGCACTGCCTAGCATTGATAAGTGCACAGCAAGCGACTTTTGCCGAAGATCATCAAAGGAACAATCGAAATCGAAGGCACGGCAGCAGAAGGCTGGTGAATATCGCATCAGTTCTTCGTGGTGACTCAAAGCGAGTAGACTTATAAACGTAAATTGTGCGCGCGGAAGTGTTTCGCGCGTTTAAATAAAAGGAAAAAAATATTATTATTTTCAACTGTGTTTCGCTATAAATGGTATTGTGAGGAAAAAGGAAATTGATAATAAGAAAGTAAAGGAAAATATACAAAGTAAGTTGAAAATGATAAGTGTGGGCTTTTTTCTGAAAAAGGCTGACAACTAGTGAATAATAAATAGGAAGTAATTGGAAAGTGATGGCAAATTAAAGAGGCGAAAAAAAATGTTAAAAATTAAAAAAAAAATTGTGTTTTGAAAAATGTTTGTGATTCATTAAGCAAAAATTTAAAATTTAATACCGAAAAAATAAAATCATTGGTTTTGAAAAAAAGTTGATTGAAGAATAAGTATTAAAATAATAAAACTGATATGTGAAAATCTCGTATGGCGCTCCAGACGCTTGTTGAAAAGTACACATACCTATACATACGTGTAGACACATTTTACATGTGCCTATGTGCTCCCAAGAAATCTATGTTTTCTTAGCCCTTTTTCTGAGGATATACGAAAATAGAAATTTTGTCGCAGCATCCAACTTCATCTAGTACATCACACACCAGTCATCGTCATGTCAGTCATTTATGCACACGTACACACATATGCGGACATATCTATCTGTCTATGCATGTATTAGTGTTCGCTTTAATTTTGGCTGTCGCTGTTGTATACTCGTTGAGGCATGCGATATTATTCGCGAATCTGTGTGCGGCCCCATTATGTTCGAGCTCTGTGCGTGATGTGACCCCTTTCGACGCAAATAATCCTTAAAAAAAGTGGCAGTGTGAATAAAAGAAGACTTGAAATATACAATTGAAAATAAAAGGAATTAAATTATAAATAATACTAAAAAAAGTAAACAAAGCAAATTGAATAGATGTAAAAAAAGATATTTAGATTAAACACAAATTAATGTTAATAAAATAAGATATAATAATTTAATTCGAAATAAAATAAACTTATTAAATATATGCAATTAAATTAAATTAAAATAAAATGACTTAAATTCTTAAATAAAATAAAGATATTAACATTAAATGTAATGAAATAAAATATGAAATAAAATAAAATAAAATTAAAATAAATCTAAATTGAATTCATTTAGGAACAAAATAAAGTTAAAAATAGAAATAAACAAAATAAAATTATAAATTAATTAAAGAAAAGTAAATTTATTTAAGAGGCAAAAAAAAATTAATTTAAAGTAAAATTACTTCAATTCAAAAATGAAATAAAAGCTAATAAAATAAAATGTAATGAAATAAAATGAAAAATAAAATAAACTTAAATTCTATTAAATGAATTTAAAATAAATCTAAACTAAATTTATTTCACAATAGGATAAAGTTAAAAATAAAATTAATTTTGAATTGAGTTAAATTAAAGTCCATTTAAAATGAAACAAATTAAAATTAGTTTAAAAACAAACTAATGTTAATAAAATAAAGCAAAATAAACAAACTAATAAAAAAATTAATAATTCAAAAAATACAATTAAATAATATTAAAATAAAACTAAACTAAATTTAATTAAGAGTGAAACAAAATAAAGTTCATAAAATAAATTATAATAAAATGCATTGTAAAAATAAATAAAATTAATTTTTAAATATAAAATGAAATCAAAAAATTAAATAAACAAAGAAAATAAAACTAAATTAAATCTAATTAATTTTATTTGAAATGAAATAAAATAGATGAAAAAATAATGTAAAATAAAAATGAATTAAACTATATCCAATTAGATCTAATTTAACTAAATTAACTTAAAAAAAGGTTAACAAAATAAATCAAACTGAAATCTAAAATTAAACTATTTAAATTAATTTAAAAACATTACAATGTACAATACAATTAATTAATTAATTGATTTTATTTAATTCTTCTTGATGAAAATAAAACTTATTAATCAAAAATTAAATTAAACTATTTTATATTAACTAAATTTGTTTGAATTTAATTTAATTAGCACAAAATAAAGTTAAATAAAAAAAGAAATATTTAAAAACGAAATTAAATAAAATTAAAATTAAATTAAATTGACAATTATGTTAAACTTAACTAATAAAAAATAATAAAATAAAAAGAAAGAAATATTTAAATTAATTATTAGTAATAAAAGCAAAGTGAAAAATCAAAATTAGGTTAAATTTATTGAAAAAATTATAACAAAATTAAACAAATTTTAATTAATTTTAAACAATGTTAAAATCAACACATTTGATTGAAAAAAAATTTAGTTAATTAAAATCAGATCAAATCAAAACAAATTAAATTCAACTACATACATATGTAAAGCTAAATTAAACTAAATAAAATAAATCAATGTATAATAAATGAATTAATAATTTAAATGTAAATTTAACTATTTTAAAAAAATAATTTAAATTTATTAATTTTTGTTAAGCGATCAGTCAAATATTTTAGATGTTTTTGTCATTAAATTTAATTAAATAAAAAACTTAAAACAAAAAAATTAAATATTAAAAATTATCTAAATAAACCAAATTTAATTTATTTTTATTTCAAAAAATTTAATTTAATTATAATTAACAAAAATACTGTAAACAAAATAAATTAAATATTAAAAAAAATATAATTGTGTTAAAATTAATTAAATTAAAAATTAATTATATTAAATTAAAATGATAATAATTATATTAAATGAACTGTAAAAGTAAATAAAAAATATTTTCCGTCTAAATGATTGCTGAAATCGGCAAAGTGAACTAGAATACATTGCAATGACTGAAGAGAAGACTTTGGCCCCGCTACAGTTTATACATGCAGTGCAGTGCAAACGCCAATTGCCAGAGAAAGGTGTAAAAATAAATGCACGCACATACCTACATACATACTAATTATATTCACTTATTTGCATGTAGCCCTAAAAAAAACACTGCAAAACGCGCGAAAGGAAATAAAAGGGCGAAAAACATAACAACAAAAAACAAAAATCTTTGAATCGGCCGGAAGTTGTAAATATTGTATTTGTATTGGTGTACATGTACGTGAATATACAATATGTATGCATGGATGAAGTTCCGTTTCTTATTAAAATTAATTTATTTGCGTTACGCGTTCTGTGGCAGTTGTTTTGTACAGAATTATGTACATATGTATGTGAGTGTGTGTTTACAGAGAGAATATTGGTGGGCTATGCCATTGAAATTAATAATTTATATATTTAAATACATATTTCTCTTCACCGTTGGTGTCAATAAAATGCTAAATGTCAGCAGAAAGCTTGATATTCTCCGAAAAAGTGCATAAAATATTTATTATACAATATTCGGGTATTATGTGCATACTAATGAATTATAAAAACTAAATAATAATTAAATTTAAATTTTTATAATTTTGTGGTTTAAATTTTATTTCTACTTCTAAAAGGAAATTGTGGTAGATTTGGAAAATAAAAATAAATTAAAAATAAGAAGCCTCTAACGTTTATTCAAAGCTTAAGGTAAAAAGAAACATTTAATAATAATAAAAAAAAAAATGTGGTGCATGTTTATCAATCTTGATGATGAGAGTTCGAAATTGTGATTAAGTTACTAATGCTACGTGAATATTGTTAAAATGTCTCCAGATTCAGCGGTCTTGATATTAATTTATTTAAATTTCCTATGCAATGAAGTGAAATAATGAAAGCCCACAAAGCTATGGGTCAATTCGAAACTAGAATCAGGCCATCCAAATTTTTACAAATATATCGGTATAAATTATAAAAGTGAAACAGTGGAGCTTAATGACAAACAAAAATAACAAATTAGTGTACAAAAATATGGCTTGTGTATGTCCACCTAAAATTCTGAATTATACAAGAAACTGAGTTGTTAGCAACAGATTAACAAATAATTAATTTACTAATCCCATAAAGTGATAACCAAAAATTGACTTTGATTATTAAAAAAAAATATATAATAATTTCCAAAAATTAAATAAAAGAAAATAAAATAAATAAAAATAAAACAACAGAATAAAATAAACTGAAAAAAATGTAACAAAAAATATCATGAAAACATAAAATAGTATAAAATAAAATTTAGTTCAGTCGGAAGCTCAGTCATAGTACAGCAGTTCTATAATAAAGGATTTTCGACTAAGAGGTGTTATTTTGAATATTCCGCTATTCCAGTAGACGTCACGTTTGATGCTGTAACTTTTTGACATTTGACACGTAAAAACTCCGCCAGTGAGAAAAATGGCACAATACACGCTTCCACAACTCTTAGATTTCACTATCACCTTGTTGGAGTGCAGTGAGTGAGTTATGTGAAGAAAAAACACCTGCATGTTGCACTTTTAAAACAACTGAGAACATTTCAACTGTAGCCGAAAGTGTTGAACAGGACCTATGTTTTTCTGTGCCTTGTCGTACTTTTGAATTGGGGATTCCACAAACGTCATTACACTGTATTTTGCATAAAGATTTGGGCCTTAAGGCCTGTAAAGTTAAAACCATAACTCAAGTCGGCCGATCATTAGCAACGTCATGTTTTTGCTGATTGTGTCCTCGAAATGCATGAATAAGATCCGGACTTTCATAGGAAATTCATGTTGAGTGATGAGTCCCATTTGCGCCTCGATGGCTACAAACAATAAACAAAACTCTCGCATCTGGACCTCAGAAAATCCAAGATTTATTGTTGAAAAGCATCTCCATCTTCAACGTGTAACTGAGCCATATTTTTTCGATTTGAGCCACTTCTGCTTTCAACAAGATCGCGCTACGTGCCACACAAGCAATGAAATCATCGATATTTTAAAGGAAAAGTTTCTGGATCGTGTTATCTCTCGCAGATGTTATCCCAATAGGCTACCGAAAACTTCGGATTTAACACGCCAATAGACCAAAGTTGATTAAAGACCTCAAAGATGGAATTCGTGAAGCTATTGAGGGCGTACAACAGCCATTTTGTGATTTTGTGGTGGAAGATTTCATATAAAGGACGGTCCTGTAAGTGTACCTGTGGCGGCCATTTGGCTGATATTGTTTTCCATTACCAATGCCATTTCATCCTCGTTCCGATCATTTATCTCAAAATAGGTAGTTTTTCTTTGAAAACACCCTTTATTGGAAAACCCTGTAATAAAAACTGAGAAACAAATTAAAGCTAAATATTTTTAATAAACATTATAACACTATATATATATATATATATATATAAAAATTTTGCGGGGAGTAGAAGAAAAATCACTTAATAATTATTTTGTCGTCACATCAATGGTTTGTAGCACCATGCAGGTCACGGAAAAACTCTCCTACGAGGAACCTTCGTTTACCTGAAACAAATTAAATAAAAATAAACTAATAAAATTAAAATTAATTTTAAGGCAATGCTATTTAATTTCGTGTAAAGAATAAAAGTAAAATAAAAAATAAAAGTTAACAAAATAGCCCATAACAAAATTTAATTAAATTTAAATAAAATAAAAATAAAAAAAAAATTTCAAAATAGAAATAATTATTAGAGTACTTAAATGTTATAACAAAAATTAAATCCTAAAACACAACAACGTAATTTGACAAAAAAATATATAAAACACAAAAATAAATAATAAACAAAATTAAATATATGAATTTAAATTAATTAAATTCAATAATGTTAACTAAGAAATATTTAAAATAAAACAAATATAATAAAACATAATCAAAAATAAAAATAAAATAAAATTATGATGTGAAAATTCATGATGTTAAAAAAAAAACAATGATGAAAAAAATTCATGAAATGGAATGACAATAACTTAAACTTATTCTTTTAACTCAATCAATTTAGCTAAATGAATTCAATAAGCAAGATAAAATAAAGTAAAAAAAATAAAGTGAAATAAAATAAAATAAAGTAAAATAAAATGAAACAAAATAACAAAAAATGAAATAAAATATAGTAAAATAAAGTAAAATAAAATAAAATGAAATAAAATGAAATAAAATAAAATAAATCAANGTTTTCCCCAAACTAGTTATAATAGTATAATTGAACCGAATCCTTCCGCATATACCATACTTGTGGTATACTCTGCATGAAAGAGTTGACCTCAAACAAACACAATATGGCACAAACCACCGAGACAAATTCAATAAAATGTGATGTCCTGTGGTCCTGAACAAGCGCTCAATATACTATTAAATCTGTAAGTCCTTGAATGAGAGATCTTCACCGCCAACAACTGGCTTGACATAACATTCAATCTTAAAATTTTACCTAAAATTTGAAATGCAGCCTCATTGTTGGCATTAAATAGGGGCCTACACTTCGCGGTAATCAATCAATCGTAGCGATTCCGATACAGATCTAATCGAAACTATAAACTCACTGCATAGCATAACACTTTGAATGAGTTTGTGAGTATAAATGTAGTCTTCCAATCACTTAAAAAAAAAAAAAAAAAAATAGAACAAAATGAAATCTCCTAAACAAAAAAAAATTAAACAAAAAAATTAAATAAAGTAAAAAAAGATAAAATAAAATAAAACAAAATAAAATGAAAAAAGTAAAATAAATAAAAATAAAATAAAATAAAATAATATAATATTAATTAAAAAAAAAAAAAAATTAAATTAAACAAAACAAAAAATATTAAGTAAAATGGAGAATATTATTGAAATTATTATTTTTACGCTGTAAATGGCATTAAGATGATGAAATCTATTATTACGATTTCTGAATCTTACATTATTTGTGAAAAACTATGTAATTTGGATGAAATCAAAGAAACTGTACAATAATGATTAATAATTTATTTCCATATAAGCCTTTGTTAAAGTTTTTGGAGGAAATTGTAGCGATTTTGATCATTTAAGTGAAATTATTAAATAATTAACAAAAAAACAAAGCAAATATTTAAAAATTTCCAAAAAAAATGATTAAATATTTTACAAAATAATTTAAATATTCAAACAACAAATAACTGAAAATAAAATGCATTTCAAATGACAAATTGTCAAAAACTACAACACTAATCTGGAGTGCGTGTACACATAAATTCCTGAAAATGCCACCTTTAAGGCTAAATCCCAAGCTATGCTCAAACATGTCTACCAAAAGCAGTGAAAACAAATTCGTGAGTAGAAAAAATAAAACGCCGCCGCGTTGGTCTTCGCTATCCTGCCTGCTGTTGCTCAGCGTGTCCTTCGCCTGTCTCAACACCGTCACACATGCGGCGACAACGGCAGAGAAACAACTCATACAACAGCAATTGCGTGGTCTCTCACCCGCGCAGCTGCTGAAGGAGTACGCGCAGACGCCGATGGCAATGAATGCGAGCCGTGCGGCTTATGACGAGACCAGCGTGGAAGCGTTGATAGCGCGTACTCATGCTGAGGCGAAAAAGTTGCAACGACAGCAACAGCAACAGCAACAGCAACAGCGAACGCTTCATCATCGCCAACACCAGCAGCAGCAACAACAACAACGTGCACATAAACGCAAAAAACACCTGCAACAACAACAGCAACGACGACGCCAGGAAGACCTGCAGCCACACAAATCACGCAAGCATGAAAAATCGCACAAACAACGAGAACGCGAACACCAACAACAGCAACAACATGGAATGCAGTCAAGCCATCATGCAGCACATCGTAAAACCAAAAGTGGTCTGCCCATCGAGAGCAACATAAATAGTAATGAATTTGTTGCGGACAATATAGCGTTGGCAGATGCCACAAATGCTGCAACAAAAGCGGCGGCTGCAACATCGGCATTTGCTGTCAACACAAACAAACGTGCCACAACAACGGCGATGGAACAACAGCAGCAACAGAAGAAGAAAAATGGCCGTAACGGTGCAAGTGGCGGCGGTGGCAGTGGTGGTGGTGGTGGTGGCAGTGGCCGCAGCGGTCATGGGATCAGAGATGTCGGACGTCAGAAATTGCACAGAAACGGTAAGTTACCCTTTTTCAGCAACAAAGCGCAAATATTTCTATGGGTATATAAATATTTCTAAACTTATAACGATTGCACGTGTGTACACAAACACACAAACACACATGCACACACTCACACGTGCGTAGGGATATTGTCTATTACGGCTGCTGCCAATTTGTGGCAAGCAACAAGTTAACCGCAAAAGTTTTCCCATCACAAACAATGGCAGGCACAACAATTGATCATTCCCCAGGCACAGTGTGGGCGGTGGGACTAAATAAGCGGAAAATTTTTTTTTAGAAGAAAATAGAGCATCCAATATATTCACGCAATATTTCTTTGTTTCAAACATCCGGATGACATGATCTATATAGTGTAGACATGGTCTCTTTCCATCAACTTCGTTCCATAGTCTGGAGTTTTCACAGTCGTTCATAAAGAATGAACCATAAACTTTTTGGAAACCTTTAACGCTGACCCATCGGATATTGCCAATATCTCCGCTTCAAGAAAAGAATTGGTGACTTGTTTGCGTTTAGACTTTGTTCGATGACAGTGGACAATACACTCATTCGAAAGGATCTTCAGGACCACTCGTTTCAAGGGTCCACTAAGTCGTTTGTGTGTGGGACTGAGTTTTTAGCATGGCGTACTGCTATTCTTTTCAATCGAGTCCTGTTTCGACCAACATCCCAAATTATAGGAAACAGATTTTTCTAATTATGGTCGCCATTCGACAGGGAATGACAAGTCCTGCGAGTGTATTTCTGACATGACATTGTAAGCTTCTTATACAAAGCCACGGGGCATTCGGAGGCGGCACAGAATAAACTATAGGTCGCTCCAATTGCTGGAAAAACATCAAGGCACATAGAGAAAGAGCTCGGCAGAAAGTCGTTTCCAAGGTTACGTCTTCAGAGAAGTCGGCGGCCGCGGTAGCCGAGTGGTTAGCATTAGGTACTGCCATTCGGAAGGTCCGGATTCAAATCCTGGCACCACCAATATCCAAAAGTTATAGAAAACAAATTTAAATAAAAAATTCTGTAGAATTTTCTGATTGCAATCGCTTCTCAGCAAGAATAGTTAACTCCTTTTCCTAACATGAAAAATAAGCTCCTCATAAGAAACCGTAAGCCGTTTGGAGACGGCTTGGTATAAACTGTAGGTTCCTCCATTTGTTGGAAAGCCATAAAGACGCAAAGACCACAAATTGGAGGAAAAATCGCTTAAGCGCTTACAAAGCGTCAAATTATTATGAATATTATTAAGTCGCATTCCAGGGTATGCTCCCCAGGGATGTAGCTGTAAGCTAGCGGCGGTTCGGTATTTTATAAAAATGTTTTCCATCTTAAATCCTCCCGGGCAACCGAACAAAACACCGCTACAATGGAAAAGAAAGAACACTCTCAGATTATGCTCCAATGACACCTAAATTGAGATTAGGAAAGCCTATTAATATTGGTCCTCGCTACATGTGCTGCTAAAGGGTATTATCTCCCTTTTTTTATCGCTCTTAGAAGGAAGCTTTTCAACGGCGGAATAGCTCGCAGAGATCTGATTACATTTCCTGTATTGGTTGAACAGCATTAAAAACCGAGTTCTTTGACCTAATAGTCAACACAACAAGTATTTAGTAATTTTTTCTGCTCGGGTGCCTTCCAGTTGTCTTATAGTTCCCGAAGACACTCTAACATGACCGCAAAGTCCAAGTTCAATAGAATCTGCTGCAGACCGAGGAACTTCTGTGTGTCTTACAGCTTCCCCCGTGAGCAATAACAACGCACTCATCAACACCAAACACACAGCCAAAGTTATTTTCCACAATATTTTTCACAACAACTTCCATATGTCTTCCGCAATTGTTACAATTTCTTATTTATTACTTCGTCCTTTTTATTTTTGCTTTTTTGCACTCACTATTTTTGTTGCTCTTGCAGTAATTCCCTGCAATTGTTGTTGTTATAGTCATTTACTTCTGTTTATGTTGCCGGTGTTTTATGGCAATGCAATTCTGCCAGTCGTGCACAGCACAATCATATTGTTGCTTACATTGCAGTTGTTGTTTTTGCTGCTGTTGTTGTTACTACTAAATATGGTGCCTGCTTGCCTGCCAACAACTTGCGGTACCGAGTCCCAACCAAATGATCGATCACAGTGAGAAGTTTATGTGCATGCACGTAAAATTCCCTATACATCCACCTATGCATGTATGTATGTATGTATGTATGTGTTTAAATGTTCAATATGTATGTACGTCAGTCGTTGCAAGCGCGTCAAATGTGCGATCGATCTGTCAGTGATAGGCTAGTATGCAGCGCCTGATGCTGATGGTGTGCTCGCGCCGCCAAACTAACAGTTCAGTTAAGTCAGCAGTCACTCAGTCAGATCGTTGACCACCACCAAATATGGTGTGGTTTTCCACTACTCGCTCGCGCGGCAGCTAACTGCATGGAGTCGTAAGAACTTTCCATGTGAAAGTCATTTGCGGCTTCTGGTGAGACACTATTGTGAATTCCGGCAGTTGGATAGTCAGCAGCACGTCTAGTTGTTACTATGTATGTGTATGTACTGGCTTGTTGCCGCCGTTTGGACAGGAAGAAATTTTTTAAATTTCTAAACGTATCCAACGTGCCTGCGCTTCTTGTTCTCGCTCTAACAATATGATTTAGTTGAGCGGCAGGCAAATAAGGCGAAGTTCAAAAATGTTGAATCTCATTAGAATGGATTATTTTACGGAAGTGATGAGAACTGAGAGAGTAACAAATTTCAATGGATTAAAAGTACTATTGGACTCTTTACTTTTGTGGCAGAATAAATGGTTCGTTTTCTTGGTTTGAATTAGAAAAAAATATCAAGTACGAAAACTTAAACAAAAATTAACTTAAATTAATAAAAAGAAGTAAAGAAATGAGCCTTAAAAGAAATATAAAATACAATATAATAAATAAAATGAAATAAAAAATGAAAATTTAAATAAAACAAATTTAAAAAAAATCAAATTCAATTGTATTAAAAGTTAAAATAAAATTAAATAACATATATCATAAAAGAAAAAAATAAATTAAAATAAAATTAACTAGACTGAAATAAAAAAAAAATATATAAAATAAAATAAAACAAACAAAATAAAATAAACTAAAATAAAATAAAAAAGATGAAAAAACGAGATCGCACTACAAATATAAATAACAAACTATCGTAAAATTATTCTCTTATTTTATTAAATATAATAAAACCAGATAAAATAAAATTAATTAAAACAAAACATAATATGATTATAATAATAAAATCCAATAAAAAATTAAATAACATAAAATAAAAAAATTAACTGAAATAAAATAAAACAAAATATAATAATATAAATTAAATAAAATCATAAAAAATAATTAAATTAAATAAATCAAATAAAATAAGTTAATATAAAATAAAATAAAAATGAAATATAAAAAAAATAAATGAAACAACATTGAATAGAATGAAAAAAGGAAATTAAAATATGTTAATATGTTAATTAAATTAAAATAAGGTGAAACAAATTCAATTAAACTAAACTTGAAATTAAATTAAAAAATCACACAAAAAATAAAAATAACAAAATTAAATACTACAATAAAATAAGATGATAATATAATATTTAATAAAATAAAGTAAAGCATAATAAAATAAATTAAAATAAAATAAAATAAAATAAAATAAAATAAAATAAAATAAAATAAAATAAAATAAAATAAAATAAAATAAAATAAAATAAATTTAAATAAAATAAAATGTAATAATATTTTATAAAGCATAATAAACTAATATATAATGAAATAAATTAAAATAAAATAAAAGAAAAGGAACTAAATGGAATTAAAAAATCACACAACAAATTACAAACTAAAACAAAATGATCCCTCTTTTTTTATAGTTCAGTATTAAAAAAAATATAATAAAATATAATAAAATAAAATAATTTAAAAAAATGAAATAAAATGAAAAAATAGAATAAAATGTATTAAAATAATATAAAGCAAAATAAAAGAAAAAATTATATTAAATTAAAAAATCACTCAACAAATTACATACTAAAATAATATAAGAGAGATAATAATATATTAAATATGAAAAATATAATATATTTAAAATTAAATTAAATAAAAAGTTAAATGAAATAAAATAAAATAAATAAAAATCCAATTCATTAACTAAATTAAAAAAATGTAGGAGAATAAATTAAACCAAAATAAAATAACACCAAATGAAACAATATGAAATAAATAAAAGAAAACCAAATAAGTTTAAAAAAATAAAAAACCATGAAGTTCAATGATGTGAAGTTAAATAAAATATAATTAAAGAAAATTAATGTAATATTATAATATAATATATGAATAATATTATAATATAATATATAAATGAGAAAGAAAATAATAAAAAGTAAAATAAATAAATTAAATAAAAAAATGAAAATAAAATGATATGAAACGAAGGGAAATAAAATTAAAGAAATAAAATAGAAAAAGGTAATATTAAATAAATTAAAATAAAAGAGAAAAAGAAAATTTAATACAATAACAAACATGAAAATAAGTGGAAACTTAAAAAAATAAAAAATATGTCATCTGAATTGATGTACTCGAAGAAGTTTCGCAACTGCCTTTATACATACATATATGCATATGTGCAAGTTTGCGTTACACAATGCTAGTGATATGCTTGTAATATGCTTGTTAGTATGCTAATCTTCATCACCATCGGCGTTCGCAAATAAACCAACACTTACCATTTACAAGTATACTAATACTTATAAACACAATACTTTCAACGGCCATAAAGACGCCGAAGTCAATAATTGACTTTAAGTTTTTGCCGAAAGCACTTATAAATCTACAGTCGAACTCTTTTGTTAAATCAATTTCTTAGAAAATTTACTGCCAAAGCGCCAAACAGTGGAGCAAACTGGCAAAAAAAAGGTAATCTTCACTGGAAAAACGCAAGAAAAAGTGTCTTTTAAAAACTTTTAAGAAGTTCTGAT